GGGGGGGGGGGGGGGGAGGGGGTACAGAGACAACGGCTTGCCGATGTTAACAGGTCATCCCACTACAAGAGCATTGTTTCAACTGTATTTCTCACTGCTATCGGGGCCGCGAATGGCAAAGGCTGCCCCCCTCCCCTCCCTGTGGAAAATCGTGAAAAGATGCGCACTCTTTCCAAACATGTATTTATTAATGCGCACATTTTGCAGGAAAATCTGGTCTCTGAAGATGGCACGGGGGGGGGGCGGTTATCCCTCTGCCCCAACTCCCCTCTTTAGAACGGCCCTGGTTGCGACTTAATAAGTCAGGGGCGAGATTCAACCAATACTTTGCTAATCAGTGGCACAACGTTTATGGTGCTGCATTTCGGGACAAAATCGAGGTATCCAAAACAACTAATATTATGACGGGATGGGCTCTCACGCTACCAGGAGGGCACTCCGCGCGCTATAACTGGAGGTGTCCCATAAAAATGTTTAAAAAAAACATTGAGAGTACCAAGCGAGCGAGTCTACGGCATATATTTTGTATTATGTTAGCTTCAAATATAAACGTTCAAGTCTAAAGATGTATATACACACAAATGCATATATATAAATCTCCCAAAGTAGATCTTCAGTCGAACTCTCGTTTCCACAAAATATATCAAACTCCTAAGATATATACAACTCCATTGTGGGTTTGTGGTATGGGATAGAGGAGGGGGGGGGCGAAAACATATTGGAATAAGGGCATTTTCCTTTACACTACATCATTTTAATGTCATCATACCCCCCCCGACTCATATTCCGCCTCTGCCTATGTGCATAACCGACAGAAAGCTGCCCCCCCCTCCCGATATGTACACAGCCGTGACGGCCGATCCGGGCGACTGATTCATCCGACGCGGTGAGGGCGGTGCAGGCTGTCGTGGGTTCTGACGTCACGGCCCACATGCCAGCACTCATGCAGAAGTGGCGTATCTCGTGTCGTGTCTGCTTAGCCATCCCCTTTGCTGGCGGTTTAATGACTGTTAAAAACAGAACCCTACGTTGGAAGTGCAGTAAAAACAGATTTGGAGACGATTAAAGAGATTGGTGTGTGTGGTCATCGTTTTCGGGGCGACCTATCATCTGACCGCCATGTGATGCACGGCTTGTCGACTTTTTACAGCGTGATACTGACGTCATCAGGGTAGACTTTAAAAAAAAAAAATTTAAAAATCGAAATGATTTTGACAAACGCGTTGATCTTAGTCTCTGGAAGTACGAAATGACAAACGTGGATTGTCTGGATTATGTTGTAATTGGATTCTCTTCTCTTGGATTACGGAAGTGTGTGTGTTTTGAATTTCGATTTTTTATATTTTTTTTAAAACGACAGGACGTCATCTTTTAGTGTCCATTCCTAGCAGTTTACGTTTAGATGCCGCCCCCCCCCCTTCCCAACCTTTCCATCTCAGTGAATAGTGATTATTTTTAAAAATGATCAAAATGACGTCATTTTTACAGAACACCTTAACGACATATCAGATGAAGATTTAACATCTGCTGGAAATAACATGCGTCCATAGGAGTCGTCGACTCCACGGTGACCGTAGTGACGCCTCTTTCGAAGCCGAACCGCCAACATTTTGTTGTTGTTGTTGTTGTTTTGGATGTAAAATTCAACGCAGCGATCAGCCTTCGGCTACCCCCCTCCGGGCAGCGAATCTGCTCCACCATGTTGTGCTGCAAGACTCCAGAGACCTCCAAAACTCAAGATGAGATGATTCTGGAAGGAAAGGAAATCAAGACCACCCTGGTTATCTCGCTTGCTTTCCAGCTGGTCTTCACCGCCTTCAATGCCCTGCAGGTTAGTCAGAGGCTTGGTCTAAATTAGTCAGAGGCTTGGTCTAAATTAGTCAGAGGCTTGGTCTAAATTAGTCAGAGGCTTGGTCTAAATTAGTCAGAGGCTTGGTCTAAATTAGTCAGAGGCTTGGTCTAAATTAGTTAGAGGCTTGGTCTAAATTTGCCAGAGGCTTGGTCTAAATTAGTCAGAGGATTGGTCTAAATTAGTCAGAGGCTTGGTCTAAATTAGTCAGAGGCTTGGTCTAAATTAGTCAGAGGCTTGGTCTAAATTAGTCAGAGGCTTGGTTATAATCTTAAGTAGTCAAGAGTCTTGGTCTTAAGTAGTCAGATTCTTGGCTTTAATTAGAATTAGTCAAAGGCTTGGTTTCAATTAATTAGAGTCTTGGTCTCAATTGGAAATATAACAGAGTTACGGGGAACCCCAAAAGATAAAAAAAACTAAACAACTAACATTTCGACTGAAAAGTCTTCAACAGCAGAGGTCATTGGTCATTAGTCTGGCCTGTGTAGTCGACAGCTAAATTTCCCTCTCCAGTTTCCTTGTGTCTAAAAGCAATTGTATTATCCCAAGCCAGGTTTAGCTAGATGGTTTTGGTCAGCAATCATTATCACCGGCCATAACGACTAATAAGTGGATATTTTTTTTTTTTTTTTTTTTTAAATTTTGAAAGAAGAAAATGACCTAGATACAGCTTTTTTTGAATCCTTTTCTTTTTTCACAATATATATATATATTGAAATTCTGAAAAGTTTTGAATCAATCCGAACAAACAGTGACTTCATTCTTCCTGAATCTTCCCCCTAATGACTCAATCAATCCCACCAAGTGAGAATAAGCAGGACTCTGCAGGACACTTGCTACAATACAGAAACAATCAGATTAGTAGTAAACGGAAATTGCCGTTTCGCGGTTCTCAAACAAATTTCCGAATACGCTGACTGACTAGCTGGCTGGGTGACAAAATCTTTGGACACCTAACTAACCCACTTCCGGTCGGGCTGTTGAGCTGAAACTTGGCACATCGACTCGTTGCCAATGACAACACATTCTTTCAAAATTGCAGCCCCAACCATTCGCCCTTAACCCCACACCAGCCCCACCCCTCCCCACCCAAATAAAATCATTTTTTGTCCCCCTGTTTTTCATGGGGTATATCAAGGAAAATTCCCGATAACTGCGCTAAATGAGATTCTTAAATAAATTCCTATATGCGTTTGGTACGTTACATTTTCTTTAGCTCTTCTGAAATAGTTGGTAAATTAAATCTGCAGTGTAAATGAGGGTGGGTCATTAGAATTTAATATACGAAGGGGCTATTCGGAACCGGGTATCAGAAGTGAGAGGTTGGGACTAACTAAAAAAAAAAATTAAAATATTATTGTGGGTTTGTAAGACAAAATTTGGTATCAAATGAAAAATAATTGAATGGAATATATGTGTGTAAACTTACTTCTTCAGTTTAACGTAAATAAACTACCACAAATGGCATCCGAATAGCATTTAGTCTAAAGGGACACGGGTCCGAATCGCCGCAGCCTTTAATATAGTTCAGGGGTCATGAAAAAAATGTGCGGTTGCGAGTCTTTGGGGTGGGGTGAGGGGGGGGGGCACTAATTGGTATTCTTATAAAGTGTGTTACTTGTAGGAAAGTTTTGTCCAAATTTTAAGCACCACCCCCTCCCCTCCTCCCCCTCCTCCCCCCCCCCCCCCCCTCGATTGCTAGCTATAACATTTTATAAAGGGGTCGTTTTTAGGGGTTGTTTATTTATTTATGTATATTTATTTTTATTTTTTTTACCAAATTCCCAGAACCTGCACAGCTCACTCCACGATGAGCACAGTCTCGGGCTCATCTGTCTGTCCACCATCTACTTCACGGCCATCGTGTCCAGCATCTTCTCGCCCACCATCATCGGCCTGATGGGCGCCAAGAATGTTTTGGTGGTCTACTTCTTGGCCCACTGCGTGTACGTGACGGTCAGCTTCTACCCGTCCTTCGCCACCATGGTGCCCGCCGCTGTCTGTGTGGGGGCGTTTCATGGCTCCGCCTGGAGTACTCAGGTGGGTCTTGGTATAAATCATTTAATAAATGGGAAATTTGTTGTGGGTACGTTTAGGTAAATTAGGGGTTCTATATTATGGTTGGTATGTTTGGATAAATTGGGGTTGATATATTTGGCAAAATTGGGGTTGGTATATTTGGGTAAATTGGGGTTGGTATATTTTGGTAAAATGGGGTTGGTATATTTGGGTAAATTTGCGTTAGTATATTTGGGTAAATTGGGGTTGGTATATTTTGTTAAAATGGGGTTGGTGTATTTGGGTAAATTGGGTTTGGAATATCTGGGTAAATTGGGGTTGGTATATTTGGGTTAATTAGGGTTGATATATTTAGATAAATTGGGGTTGCTATATTTAGGAAAATTAGGGTTGATATATTTGGGTAAATTGGGGTAATTACATTTTGGTTAATTATAAATTGGGGTTGGTATATTTGGGTAAATTGGGGTTGGTATATTTGAGTAAATTGGGGTTGGTATATTTAGGTATTTTGGGGTTGGTATATTTTGGTAAATTAGGGTTGATATATTTGGGTAATTGAGGTAAGTACATTTTGGTTAATTATAAATTGGGGTTGGTATATTTGCGTAAATTGGGGTTGGTATATTTGAGTAAATTGGGGTTGGTATATTTAGGTAATTTGGGGTTGGTATATTTTGGTAAATTGCGGTTGGTATATTTAAGTAAATTGGGGTTGGTATATTTGGGTAAATTAGGGTTGGTACATTTTGGTTAATTATAAATTGGGGTTGGTATATTTTGGTAAATTGGGCTTAGTATATTTTGGTAAATTGAGGTTGGTATATTTGGATAAATTGGGGTTGGTATATTTGGGTAAATTGGGGTTGGTATATTTGGGTAAATTGGGGTTGGTACATTTTGGTTAATTATAAATTTTGGTTTGTATATTTTGGTAAATTGGGGTTGGTATATTTTTGGTAAATTGGGGTTTGGTATAATTGTGTTAATATTTATAAAAAAAACAACTAAATTTCAACTGTATTGACAATTACATAAACAAACTTAAAATAAAACCACAAGAGGATCCAAACATACAAATTACGTCATGAAAATCGTTCAAAAGATAATATTCACTAACACTTGACCAAACAAATGAAAAAATTTCCTAACTCCCAACCCCCCCCACCCACCCCAGGAATCTTCTCAAATCGGTTTATCATTATGATTTCATTCTTTGTAAATCATTTTCTTTAAGGGAAAAAAAACGCTATGCATTGTGGAAACAAACTTTTAAAATGTCAAAACCAAGCCATCAGCGTATCGGCTAAAAGCCTTCTTTGGTGGAGAGAAAGAAAAAAAAACCGAATGAAAATCTAATGAAGAGGATTGATATTAATTTTATATTTGGCATTGTCAGACATGTGGTTTTAAAAAATGTTACGCAGCCTATACTTGTTCTCAGTTTTTTAAAAAAAAGAATAAAATCTCCAGGCCCTGTACGTCTCGGCCAACGCTTACTCGTATTCCAAGCGACCCAGCGTTCAGAACCCTTACGACATCCTCACGAGGTTTAATTTGTTCTTCTTCGCCACGTTTGCGACCACGCAAATCGGCGGCAACCTGGTGGCCAGCGCGATCCTGGGCAGCAGTCGTGGCAACTCGAGCGACGCAGGGGCGGCACTTCAGCACTGCGGGATCAACGACTGCCCGCATCTGACCAATATAACGGAGGTGAGGACGAATTTCTGTGAGGCGTTGTCTTACTGCCCGGTCACATACACACTGTCCGAGAATCATGCATAGCGTCCCAGTCATTTGACATATCGGTCCGGGAATAGATATACCTGTCCGAGTATAGGCATTACTCTAAATCAGCGGTTCTCAACCTATGGGTCGCGACCCCTTTGCCAGGGGTCGCCTACGGCCATCTGAAACATATGCCCTACAGGTATGAAGTAGCAACAAAAATAATTTTGTGGCTGGGGGTCACCACAACAGGGTTGCGGCATTAGGAAGGTTGAGAACCACTGCTCTAAATGGTTGGGCAAGAGCTATAAGTTAGCAAACTTTCTCGGGAACGAACAAATTTAATAGAATTTCTTAAACAATTGAAAGGCGACAAGGGACTGAAAAAATAAAAATACTTTTTTTTTTTAGTTTTTACTTATATTAATTATATTGTATACTCCTTTTAAAAAAAAATTTAATAGGCCAAGTACCTTACTCTGACAAGTGAGTGATTATATAATACATTCCTTATACTGAAACGCATTGATGCCATTTTTAGGTGCCTTACTCTAACAACTTAGTGCATATTATACATTCCTTATGCTCAGATGTGGTGATGTCCTATTTTAGTTGCAGGATCCTGAAGATTGGGCCATTTACACATTGCGTGGAGTGTTCCTCGGGTGCACCGTCGGTGGCCTGCTGCTCGTGCTGGTCATGCTGCCGCCATTGCCGAGGAGCGATTGGCTGAAGAAGTCAGTGGGCGTGCGCAGCAACATCACTTCCTGCTTTAGCGTTCTCGCCACGAGCGACATGCTCCTTTTGGTGCCGCTGATACTCTTCACCTCCATCCAGCAGGCCTTTCTAGTGGGAACCTATACGGAGGTAAGCTGATACTCGCCACCTCCATACAGCAGGCCTTTCTAGTGGGAACCTATACGGAGGTAAGCTGATACTCGTCACCTCCATACTGCAGGCCTTTCTTGTGGGCTCCTATACGGAGGTAAGCTGTCTGGGGTGGGGGAGGGGATTATATTGTAGTAAGGCACCAAGGTCAGTGTCTGTACAGCTGGAGGAGCCGCACGAGGGTTACGTTCACGATAGATATATGTAGGAGGGAAAGTTGTACTAGCCGTGTGTACTGAATAGTGGTGAAGCTGTATTTTTTCTTACCTTCTACTGGGGACAGCCCGTCGATGTGAACTTTCTCCTTCGCCTTGTGAGACAGGCGGAATTTCGTGGGTTTCTTAGCTTCCGGCGGTCGAGTCCGCCGTACTATTCTGCTGTGCCGCGTAGAGGCAAATCCCTTGAAGACATGCCGTCTCCTAGCAGACAAGACCCATGGTGGGGGTTAGATCTGCAGACAGCGGAGTCTAGCGATACAGATGCGCACCGAGCACTGTCCCATCGGTATATACTTCAACGGTATTGCCGGTAGTGCAGCCACGTTCCTATCTGTTGACCGAGTTCCCCTCACTAGATGTTTCAAGGGGAGGCCAGGGCAGCCGGAGAGCCCTACGTGAGGAAAATGTTATATGGCACAGCTCAGCAGATGGAGGTGATTCCCAATGTGCCATCCGGGGTCATAAAAGAGTAACCTCAGACCCTCACCAGAATATGTGTGTTGGTTAGGAGGGAAAGTTACTTACATCATTGTTTTCAGCGAATTCAGATACCATTGACAGTGTCGTTGCTTCCATGTTTTGGGTGTTTTTATTGTTTTACATTTTTTTTTTAATTGCTATTTTAATTTTGTTTAAATTCTCATCTCTGTGGACATCCACTTTAATCTGAAGACATTGGGGAAAAGTGAGAAGTCCTTGAAGAAATAACAAATCAGTTGAAAACGGCGACAAAAATAAGTCCGTGCTCGAAGATTCTGTTTACAGTTTTTTAAGACGCATCTTGCAGTCCAGATACAAGATTCAAGTAGCATAATCCCCTTTTGTCTGTCCTTCTGGAACTAACGCTAGATATATTCAATTTTAAACCCTTGAAAATCTTTCTCATTTGGAAATAATTTTTGTTACAAATTTCATTTCATAATAAAAAAGTGGTTAAATTTAGTCAGTCTGATTTAAGTCTGCATAAATTATTTATAAACACCACCAATATTTTATCACCTGTATAGCACTACCAAAAGCATAAATATCACCATGGATTATTCCATCAGAAAAGGAAATAATAGCGGTTGATGTCTTTGTGAAATATTGTAACACTTGGACCTACCGGGTATTTTCTCAAAATACTCGGACCCGGTGTAAAAAAAATGCACCCGGTTCAGCCAGATTATAGTACCGGTATGTAAAATATGAAATTTAAGTCTTCTTTTGTAACACTTGGACCTACCGGGTATTTTCTCAAAATACTCGGACCCGGTGTAAAAAAAAATATACCCGGTTAAGCCAGATTATAGTACCGGAATGTAAAATATGAAATTTAAGTCTTCTTTTGTAACACTTGGACCTACCGGGTATTTTCTCAAAATACTCGGACCCGGTGTAAAAAAATATACCCGGTTAAGCCAGATTATAGTACCGGTATGTAAAATATGAAATTTAAGTCTTCTTTTGTAACACTTGGACCTACCGGGTATTTTCTCAAAATACCCGGACCCGGTGTGGGAAAAAAACAACTGTACCCGGTTTTAAGCCCTCCTAGTTATTACTACAGATGTTCTTGATCCCTCTCTTTCAGTCCTACGTGGCGTGCGCCCTGGGCATCCACATGGTCGGCTTCGTCATGGCGGCCTACGGTGCGACCACTCCGGTGTTCGCCTTCATCATCGGGCGTCTGTCCAGATTCACGGGCCGCTTCCTGCTCGTCACCGCGTCCATGGGCGTGCACATCGTCCTGCTGGCGGTCCTGCTCCACTGGTCACCGGATGAGGAGGACATCGTGACGCTCTTCATTGTGCCCGCCATTTGGGGCGTGGCGGAGAGCGTTCTTTTGGCACAGGCAAACTGTAAGGAGGAGGCGTATCCGGAAATTCGTTCGAAATAAATTAGCTCAACGGAAAGTAGTTCGAAAACAGAAGTTTGTTCGAAATGAGATCTGTAAAACGAAGATTGGGGGGGGGG